GCATACTTTCACCCCTAGTACTTAGAAAATGTACAGCTTCCCCCTGACCTGCAGCAGAGGAGACAGTGAGTGTCTGCGTGATGAGATCCAGAGGCTGCATCTTGAAACCCAGCTGGATAAAAAGGAAAATGTGAAAAACGTATCTTCTAAAGAAGAGGCGATTGGTATGACAGCTGCTGAATGAATTGGATCCTAGGGTTTACAGAGCCTACCAACTCATCTCTTTGCTTCATATTTGGTGGTTTTTCCATCTGTAGGAACCCATGCTGAAACACTATCATTTAGGATAAACTTTGTCCACTTCATGATAGTTAAAATTATTCTCACCAAAGGAGGCTGACAGATGAAGGGAGACTACAACTGGATTTACTGCTTCGCTCTCCATGCTCCTGTTTATTCCAAAATCTTCAATAATGGGCAAAAATCTGACAGAGCAGGAAATCACCAGCTGTTGTGAGCTCATGTACCACTTGCACAGCTGCTTAGAAAAGATTAAACCAAAGAGATTTCAGAGCAGAGCAGCAAAACTTTACGAGAACTAAACAGGTTTAAGTAAGCAACGACTACGCAACACATATGAGCTCAACATTGTAAGCACAAAGCAAAGGAAGGAAATATTGGGCTAAGCCAGCGAGAGCACTTAGGGAGAAATGGCATGAATTCAAAGATTTGTCTAAATACAGAGTTGTATTGACTTCATTCAGATGTGCTTTAAAATGCTTGAGGTAAATAAGGTTAAAAGGCTAAGTAGACACTCTTCTTTTGCTATAAAACATGTGTGGAGTGAAAATATTGGGAAATAAATTTTAAACTAAAGAGCAAAAAACAAATTTCTAAGCCTAAGGAAGAACAATTGCAGAAATTTTTGCTTGCTAAATTAAATGAGAACAAAGGCATGAGCGGAGAGGGACAAGGAAGGGCAGAGCCACTGAAAACAGGGGTGAAAAGTTCTCAAAGGAAGAGCCTTGCTTTGTCTCCAGCGGTGATAGATTGGGTCATCTTTTCTAGCACCATTGTCCCTGCTTTTGAGGTTTTTCGAGTGAAACTGGAGATCTTTTCAAACTTTTAATTGAGCTAGCCCCAAAGGAGACAGGGACAGCTCATAAGAACTCTGAAAAATACATGGACAACTAAACACTAGCAGCTATGTCATTACGTTCTGCTGCTCCAGGGTCGAGTGCTGGCTCTGCAAACATAACTGCAGCTCTAGCAGAGTTGGTGTGGGTTTGACCCAAATCCTCTATCGTGCCAGGGGCCAGAGGGAAATCCAGCAGTAACAATAGGCTGGCAGCCTCCCAGTTTGTCCTGTAAAACAATTAGACAAATGTTTTCTGGTACAGACTCTCTCAATGTCTCAGAAAGTTACTCTTTCCTCTTCATTTGTACACCTGACATCAATCCTGTGAGTAGCCAGATACCCTGGATACAAATATTTCTGTCTGAGCTGAAATCAAGATCTAAATTTTCCATTCTGTTCCTATGTTTCAAGTGTAAATGTGGGATCCAAACAACTCCATGTTTAAGGAATCCAGAAACAAGATCTGAGTTCAGATGTTAAGATTTAAGCCACCCCTACTGCAAATCCGGGTAATTATTTTATTTCTCATTAGTGATTCCTTCCTGTGGATGCTAAAGTGCATGGCAAAGATCTGTCAATATCCTTCCTCTTACAGACAGAGTAACTTTGATTAAGAGATCTGGCCAAGATCATCAAGCAAGTCACAGGAAATTCAGTTAAAAATGGAGCCTGATGTTCCCCTCTCCCAAGTCACACTGTATTTCTATGGGAAACCCCTGGAAATGTGTGAGAAATGCAACTAACAGAAATACTGCAGAAAATAACCATTTACTAACATCTTCAATAACTCACAAGCCAGTTTTGGTATTACTATAATTGTGCATGGTGCCGGTGTGTCAGTAATACTTTGCTCAGTCTGTTCCTAACATAGCTTGTAATTTAAGTAACTTTTTCCAACTTTTAATTACATTCTTGTGTAATGCACCTCACTGTGCTTTGTGCATACCTTGAGGGAGGTGGTATGGTCTGGTAGCTGTTGTCAAGTGTTGGGAATTAATTACAGGGGACATAGTTTTTGAGTTCCTCTCCAGTACTTGCTCAGCTGTGTAACCTTGGGGCAAATCACTCCGCTGCTTTGTGCCCAAGTACACCCAGCTGTAAACCATCTTGAAAACCAGATGGTGCACAAGATTTAAACTGCTCAGGAGTATGAAGAGGAATGGGAAAATAAAAATAAAAATCTAAAGAGTGAATTCTACAGCTCATTTCTGTTGGTATTGCTTCCAATGGAGTTAATCTGGACTTAACCAATATAACTGAGAATTTGCCTTGATATAAAAGAAAAAATCCACTCTCAAATCTTTTTTCTTCCTTTCTTCTCTTGACTTTATGTCAAGTACCTTCTCTCCAGAGGCTTAATTTTAAACCTTCAGTAGAATACGTGTTTTTCCGTAGCAGCCTGACGATTCTAATTCAGGATCAGGTTCTACAGGACTAATCTTTGATATTTTACATTATTATTTTTAGGCACTTAATTTTATAGCACTCTCCTCTCCCTGCTTTTCAGGCTCCTGTTCTCCTTCCTCAGCCTTGCTTATCTTCAGGGGCTGTGTCCTGGTGTCCAAGGACTGGACCGCTAATAATAATGCTGAGCAATGCTGTCTTCTGTAGATGTGATGTCCTGGCTTAAAACCAGGATCAAAGCTATTACAGGACTTGTATTGCTGGTCAATGAACAAAGAAAATACTGTACTCAAGTTTCTGTAGCAGAATAAATGTTTGCCACATGCTAGTATTTAGGAGAAGACTGAAATGTTTCAGTATTTTTTCACCTTAGCTAAAATGTCGACTTTTCTCCTCCAATCAGTGCTGCAGGAATGTGGGAATACTTACTTATGTAAAAGTAAAAATGTAGGAATACTTGTGTATACTTCCAAAGTATTAGGTTATAAGAAGGCAAAAAATTATAATCTTAGTCTAGTATAAATAAGGAATGTTTTAAAGGCAAGAGGTGAACGAGGCATTTTATACAATACTCAGGAAAGACCTTGCATGTTTTTATTACTCACTACTGAAAATAAAACACTGACAGGTTTGAAATTTGTTGACCTTTGTCCCCAAATAAGAAACGATTAGAGCTGAAAAAGTAAGTTACAAACAGATTTAACAACTTAGAGCACCCAATTCTCTTGGGCCCTTATGAAAAAGATGTTGTCAGCAAATTGTCTTCAGCAAATTTAGCCCTTGTTATACACTAATGGGATGGTCAAATATTTAATTGCTGTTCAAAATTGATGATCATTCTTCCAATGTAAACAATTTTCAGTTTGTGTGTCTCTCACAAACTGTTTGCTCTATTTCATATTATTGGATCTTTAGGTTTGATATTTGAGCTATGCTATTAGTAATTTAAAGTATTGAAAAATTGTTCTAATAAATACCATACCAAAGTGTCTGTGATGAACACAAGACAATCTCAGATGACCAGCTATGGAAAACAATAAATAAAGCAGAAAGTGAGCTGTAGATAGATCAAATCCAGGTGATAAGGAAAACCATGACTAAATTTGGCTTATACAAGGACAAGAAAAATATAAATACATTTTCAAGCCCTGAGCTATATAAATAGCATCAGACTCAATTTACATTTTTGCTGCTCACAATGAGTAAAAGGTTGATTTAGCTCAGTATTGCCAGCTGAAACTGCAGCTGGGGGTGTATTTCTATAGCCAACAAAGTAGGATTTTCCCTTCTGTGTTCCTGAGTGTCAGCCATTGAGCTTTACTCCATTTCATGGTCCTGTGAATTGCTCAGATGGTCTGTTTGAAGAAAAGGTTGTTGCATCGTGATTTTTCCATAGTCCAACCCAGTTTATCTCCAGCCTCATTGAGAATAAATGATGGATGCTTTGTGTTGGTGTTATTGGTACCATAAAACGGGCCAGCTTGCAGGATGCAGCTTCAAATCCCTTTGGACGTGCTGAGACACACCATCAGTGAAATATGTGCTGACAGACGGGTGATTTGGACGCATTGCAAGGTATTGAGTCAAGGCTCATCTCAAGGCAAACAACAAAATGATGAATTCCCAAAGCTAGAAATTTCAGGCATCATAAAACCTTTCTTCTTAAAAAAAAATCTAATTAATTAAATATGCTTTATGTGAAGGCTTTGTTTCTTTAAAATAGTATCTGGAACTTGAAATCTAACTGGTTTGTGAAAAAAACCAAACAGTTAAATAGCTTTAGGTCACCTCCTTGCTTTTGATTAATACAGTCCATTTTTGTGCAGGTTTTAAACCACGCTGCTCTATTTGTCCCTCTCTCATTGCCAGGAAACCAGAAAAATGAGAAATACACCATTGAGAAACTGACTACAAAATGCAGCTACAAGTATGTATTTTGCCCATATAATCACATTCAGAAACAGTCAATATGCATTTAAAGAAAAGTAATTGAAAAAATAGTGATTTTTAAAAAAATCTCCCTTTGAAAATATACGGTAAGGCTGAAGCTTGAGTGTGAACAAATCTCTCCCCAAGTTGCTAAGAACACTTTCTAAACTGCAATTTAAATCTTTCAGTTACTACTTTTCACTATTTATGCTCTCCATTTACTTTTTGCCTTTACTTTCCAGTCTTGTGACTAAGCAAATCTGGTAAATTTTGCTTGCTCAGTATAGTTCCCATTGCTGTCCTCATGTCTTGCTGTAGCTTATTGCCTATGTTTGGGAATATAACCATCCCCAAGAGTAGTCAGTTCTCTTAAAAGTGGGATTTAATTATTTTTATTAATAAAATCCACATTTTAAATCTAAACTATTTTATTATGTCCCTTTCAAAAAGGAAATCACTTGGGTACAATCTGCTTTTTCAATCACGGTTTCTAAATTCTTGCCTCAAAGAGCAAATTCTGTAAGTTCCTTTGCTGAACGAGCACGGGATTTTTAAGAAAGATGTAGAGACAAAACGAAAGAGCCTCTCACACAACCTGATAGCTGAATTTCAGTGATGCCCCTTATTACCAGCTTATTTTCTTCCCTTTTTTTTTCTTTTCAGAGCTGTAGAAAACAATTTCCGTCGGCTCCATCAAAGTGTAGTGGCAGATTTCCCTTTGGAAGTCAGCGCCTGTTTCAAGCGTCTCTTTAAGTCCTGCATATTTGGAGACTTGGGTCGCACAAGGTGGAGGCCTCTTCGTTTCTCCCCATTGCAGCTCCCGATCATCCTGCTGACCTCCTGGCAAAGCTGCTGGAAGGCTTCGTGCACCCCCTCACAGTTTTCTCGGGCTGACACCTCATAGTAAGTCCCTCCCAGTTCACTGGCCAGCTGGAGTCCTTCTTTGGAGGACACCTGCCTGGCTCGCAGGAGGTCTCCTTTGTTTGCCATCAGAAGCAGGGGGATGTTGGCATTCGGGTGGATCTTGCGGATGTGCTGGTGCAGGGGACGAATGACTCGGTAGCTCTCGTAGTCTGTGATGGAGTAAACAAAAACGAAGCCATCTGCCCAGTAGATCGAACGGTTTATCTGCTCTTGGCAGCAAATGCTGTCAGTGTCATCCTACCGTCAAAACCAAGAGGTGTGAGATTAGAAAAGTGAGAATAGGGAGCAGACAGAGCAAACACTCATACGGCACTGTTAGCTACTCCGAGCTTGGATTTAATGTGTGGCTGTTTCTCAATGTACAGGCAGAAACCTCTCTGACTGCCGGGGAATGTACCATGGACACAAGAAATTTCCACTGTGCCAGTAACATATTGCAGGTAAGAAGGAATGTAGAATGGAGAGGGGTCAGAGCAAATTGGTTGAAAATAAGAGAACAGCCAAAATACTGCTATTGTTTGCTCTGTATACTATTGTACTAAACCAGTGTGACAGGAACCTCTGCTTTTATTGTGGATGAAATGGTGATGGGCATGGTAAGAGCATTATAAAATTCAGCAAGCAAGCCACACTACTGCCAGGGAACAACTGTCCCTCAAGGTGTTTTTTTAGGGCTTTTTCCACTTCTGTGTTCAATGTGTGCATGGACAGAGATTCTCACTAACTCTGTTTGATGAAGCCTGACAGGTTTTTCTGCCATGTAGGTCTCCAGATAGTCAAAGGCAAAGTTACTTCAAAAAAGCAGTTTGTTGCAAATAACCAATTACTGGAACTGAAAAGGAGGTGAAATCTCATTGTTCATTTATAAAGCAGCAGTGTGTCTATATTATTGTTTCACTGGTCACACATTTGTTCAGTCCATCACCGCTCCTACTCAGGCAGCCATAACAATCATCAATGTTGGGAATATGAAACTGAATATGATACTGTGGGCCTTGAAAAGAGATCAGCTCACTTTTCAAGACGAAGCTATTTTCAGCTAATCCTCGCCTCTTTGTTATCCGTGCTGGCGTGTAACCCAGGCAGACAGGGAGGTCACTGCTGCAGTTATTGCCACTATGCTTGGGTTGTAAGAACTGACAGTCCTGTCAATATTACAGCCTTTCTGGAACTTTGTCATTTCTTTCATATCCAACAAGGCACTAAGCATATTCAGTATTTAGCTCTTGAAGTTGGTAGGAATTAGAGGCTTTTGTGTATTTTAGTGAGAGTTTAACTTCATAAATAGAGAGCCCAAACTTTTATTATTATTGCTAAATTCTATTCAAGAAATCTTCATCAACTTCAGTAAGACTATTAGATCATATGTTCCATTATCTATTTACCTATAGAATATATATCTGCCATTCACATTCATTTTAACAGAATTTGCATGTACTCAGCAATCTCCCCAGAGAGATCACTTTTATTTAGACACCTAAATATGAATTATAAAGCTTAACTTCAGGAAGCGGAGGTGGAAAAGAATGAGTAAAACTGGGCAGTTCTTTTATGGTAGGTCAGACAGTAAAAAAACTACTACCAACAAGGCTCTTCTATGTGAGAAGAAGGAAGCTGAATTTCTGAAGACTCAAAGTATAAATTAGGTTAACAGCTTTCAACAGGAGTTCTGCTACCCAACTGCCCTTTGTAAATATTTCAATATTGCCCATATATGGCTCATCATACCTAGCAGTTCTTTGCTAAATCCTGTTAGCAGTGAAATCATTTAACAGATGCTCTTATCACTTCTCTCCCTCTCCAAAACCCTCAAACCCAAAAACCCAAGAGTTGCATGTGGAATCAGAAGGATCCTCACTAGCAGCCTTGTTTAAGAGGCTAATGAGAGTGAACTCAAGGCAGGACAGGGCAGGCTGTGGGAAGAAAGGCAGTTTGCACTGTTGGTGTCTGGATTGTGTCCAATCCGGAGATAATTAGCCACCCTTCACGTCCTGCTAGCCTCTTTTCACCAGCAAGCTCCTTTCACAGGGGGAAAAGAACTAATTGCTCTGGCAAGTGTTTGAAAATGTTTTTTGGAGAAGGTGTACATTCAGAGAGCCCTAATGAGCAGAAATTCTCAGTTACTCCAGCTAGGCCCACCCAGTAGTGAGCTGGATGATTAATCCCCAGTGGAATGCTTTTTTCAGGAAAATCAAAGGCTTAATGGGCTACTTTTTAAATGTAAATCTCTACTCCAGAATTAATTTTGAAACACACAATCATTTGCCATGTATAGACCCAGCAGCAATGAATCGGGGAACAAAACCAGTTATCTGTTTGCTTCTGTTTCTCTCTTTAAACATTAACATTTCCAGTGCAGCTAAAATCCTGAGTGGTTCCACATGACTTCGTCCTGAAACACTGCACTCAGCCTGCACAGTGCAAGAAACTCTATTCCTTAAGGGTTTTACCAAAAAAATCCAACTTATTCTCAGTCTTAACAAGTCCTGTTCAGGAACACTCCCCTCAAATTATTTCAGACGCATCATTTGATGCAAACAGAGATCCAGGCTAAGATCAGCGTGGCTGTGGGAACTGGTGAAACAGTGCAGACCTCTGACTAGGACAAAGAAAATGAAACTCCTTCCTAACAAAATTAAAATAGTTTCTGACTAAGAAACCTCAGCTCTTGGCATTACTAAGCTTTCTGGAGCTCTGGTTACAGCCAGAGAACTTTAGGGCACAGTCTTAATTAAAGCAGGGAAACCAGAAAATAAACATCTATCTGGTGTGAGAATTAAATTCCTTCATTCCCTTCTTTCTCCATAGGATAGAACAGAGAGGGGATTCCCTTTGTAAGTGTTTATCAGGCAGTCCCAATTATGCCTAATCATCACCACCAGCTTCTCTTTGCAGGTCCTCTCCAAGCAAGCTGGCATAGGGCCTTTGTACTATTAAGCCCCACTTGGATATTTGGAGGATTTCCATAGCTGCTTTTGTTTGGTTTTTAGTGTCCAGATTAAATGAAGGGTCTTCTCCTCTGCTCTGGGCATGCTCAACAGCAGCAGGGAGCGTGCAGGTTTAACAAAGCTTTCTGCTTAAATCTACTTCCAGTCATCAGAGAAAATGGAAATGGAAACTCTGGCTGTGGGAGCTTTGCTTATCCTGTCCTGTAAATTCAGGAGGGAACAGTTCTACGGTACAGAAATGAACCCATGCACACATGGGTCCATACAGACTAAACAAGGTACATAAAGCTGTCCAGGGCCAGCCTGAAAGAGGATGAGAGAAGATGGTGTTCCCGTCCAGACATGTATTTGATCAAGTCAGAGCTTAGACTGAGGTTAAGGCCAAACCTAGAAGTTTAGGTCTGATGGTGACAAGGGCATAGAAAGAGGCAGGAAGGTCTAAGCTGAGCCAGCTGGGCCTGTGGGCAGGTGAGGTTTCTGTCATGCAGGGACAAACCATTTGACAGGAAAGCAAACATTCAAGGAGTTGGCAGGAGCAAGCCGGATTATTATTTTACTGCTGTTTAGGCTTAGAATGTAGTAATGTGTATGAAACAGGTTTGTTTAAATTTTGACTTAAAGAAGCCTGATTTAACCTCTTCAAGGGCTCGTTTTGGTGAGGCTTAGGGTACCCCCATTAGTCTTCATTTGGGCGTGAACCCAGGTAATTTTCTGCTTGCAGGGACAAACCATTTGACAGGAAAGCAAACATTCAAGGAGTTGGCAGGAGCAAGCCGGATTATTATTTTACTGCTGTTTAGGCTTAGAATGTAGTAATGTGTATGAAACAGGTTTGTTTAAATTTTGACTTAAAGAAGCCTGATTTAACCTCTTCAAGGGCTCGTTTTGGTGAGGCTTAGGGTTACCCCCATTAGTCTTCATTTGGGCATGAACCCAGGTATTTTTCTGCTGGTAAGTGGAGTTACTTACAGTGCTGACAACAAACATGAGAAAAGAACTGTGCTGTAAAGTACCAATGCACTGAGCAGCCGTTTTACCTCCAGTGAAACAAAAGGTGTATCCTGCACCTGCAGAGAGATCTGCTCCCCATCTATGGTGAACTTTCTTGAATACAAAGCACCTGGTGGAAAAGTAAGAACATGAGTCAGTGGCTGCAACAAAGAAGAAAAAGTACAGCAAGGCAAAATGGAACAAATTCACATTTTTGAGGCTTATAGAAAAATGAATGGTACCAGAGTAGTTGTGTGGCTGTTTACTTAAGTAAGGTGGTTGTGTATTTGCCGTGTGGTCAGATGTTTTGAATGCATACCTAGGATGGTATCTGGGAAAGGCAGCACTTTGTATTGAATCAAATAGTCGAAGTGGGTGCATAAATCCCATTCAGATTTTCAGTCCATACTATTAACTTTTTAAAATGTGGACTGCATATACTTTTATTCTCAAACCAAGATATCCAGGTGTTGTCTGTAAAAGGAGTTTCCCATTGCATTTTTCTGAAAGTCTTTTAAAAAGGAAAGTATTGCCATTTTGGACACAGAGTAAGCGAGTGCATACAAATCACTCAGATGCTCTTTAGGATTCGTGTGACCTTAACAGTAAGAGTTTGGTTGAAATTCCCCAAAATGGGATGCTTCGAATTGGACTTCTGGTTAACCTGAATGACACCAAGTCAGGGCCAAGTGCTAGTTCAAACAATCTAGGACTGATCCAGCTCTAATAAAACCATCACTGTTCTGGGCACTGTTTATTTCATTACTGTGGTGTGGGTCAATGAAAACTTAAGTTTTGATCTCATGAACCATCCATGGTTGGGATAAAGACAGAGATTGATGCCATCATCACTTTTCTTCAGAACTTAATACAAGTCACATGGGTGTGTGAAGAAATGCTGTATCCCCAGCTGTTGTGCACAGCCTTTCAGTCTTGTCCAAATACAATTGGCACTGCTGCATCTGAAACAATTTGTTTCATTTCAAGCATAGAGGAATCCCATCTATTGGACAGTAAGGAATTCAGATTAACCGGGAGGTCTGTTAGTGACAATAACGCTATCACTTCTGAAAGTCATCTTTGGTTCAAGGAAACAGGTGCTTTTCACAGAATCACAGAATCTCAGGAGTTGGAAGGGACCTCGAAAGATCATCCAGTCCAACCCCCCTGCCAGAGCAGGATCACCTAAACTAGGTCACACAGGAACACGTCCAGGTTGGTTTTGAATGTCTCCAGAGAAGGAGAGTGGAAAAAGAGTCTGAGCTCACAGAAACATTTACAATATGAGGAAATTTAGCACAGCAAAGCTTGCTGCCTCTGAATCCAATATTACCACAGTATGTTTTAATGCTGACTCTGAGGTGATCTAGCCCTTTCGGGATTTTTTTTTTTTCCTGAAAACAGATCAGATTCTAAGCTGAAAAGGTGGCACTGTTTTATGGGAAGATACTGCACCTCTGAACCAAGACCAGAAAACATATTATTCCTACTCTGTAATGCATTGCAGAAAAAAGAGCAGGTAATTCCAGACACTGACTGCGCTCTGCCTTATACGCGACTGAAGGAGAAGCATGGTTGAATGATCACAAGTACACTGCCACCTGTTTCTTATTTCTGGCGTATTTATTTCTTCTACAGCATGGCTGTTGGGCTAGTAGCTTAATGAGAAAAGCATGTGGCTCTCAGCAATGTCTCTGGCGGCAATCCATCGCAATGCTCAGAAGTCTTACATGATGTACAGTCTCCCGTAGAAGAGATGAAAGAAAAGAAAGAGAAATAGCATGGCCAACATCAAGGTGATTTCAGGTCAGTGGGAGGGAGCTGTAAGGAGGAGCTTTCAGATTGTATTTCATCAGGCAGGAGGAGATCAAAGGTGTCTTGTACTGCCATCTCCTTTCCTAACTCATCACTCTACATTCAGCATGCATTCCCAAAGTGAAGCAATCACTGTGCTGAATCCTGTCCTCCTTCATGCAAAACCTGTGAGATGGCCTACGTGTGGGATGTGCTAGAAAGTATGAGCATGGTGTACATAGATCCTTTCTACAACACTGGCCAACACAGGTGGCACTTTCTGGGTACAGAGGCTGTGAATTAAAGAGTTCAATGAACATATCCTCTGCGGTGTCAGGATTAAACAAGAAATGCAGTAGAAGTAGTTTGCATGGTCACTTGGCTTATTTTATGGGAAGAAGAATTCAATTTGGAAGTCTCCCTTGTCTTTAAAGCCACTGAAAAAAGGGAGTGCACAGAAAGAGTTCTGAACTGCCTTTTACGCACTTTGGAATTCCTCTGGCTTCCCTGGGGTAGCAGAGAGAGCAGCATTGGGTTTCTCCGGTTTAGTCGATATGCAAGTTGTTCCTCCAGTCTGCATTTTAGTATAGGTATGTCCCCAAGCAAACCTTTTACTCTGATCCTTTTCCATCGAGTTGGAGAAAAAAATAGGTAAAAGGATCATAACTAATGAGCCTTTGATTTGTTGCTTTCATAGCTTCAGGCTATTAACTGAAAATATGCACCTTATGGACATCTAACACTCCTTGGCTTTCCTGTAATGTGCACCAGTCACAAAATAGAGCAGATTTCTTTTCAAGCTATCTGCAGTACTGCAGGAGAAAGCAGACTCACCAGTATTGGCTTCATAGTCTCCAATAAATCTCTTTGTGAGAAAGCGCACAACCAGGGCTGTAAAACAATGAAAAAAATATGGGTCTTCAACATGAACCAAAATCAATCTTTGCAGAACATGTGTAATATCTTACTGGAAGAGTTAGTATAATATGAAACCAAGTTAAGATTTGAATTGCTCACATATTGTTCTGCAAATGCTTCTCTCAACACTGACAAAAAAAAGATCTGGGGCCAGGCTGTGATAACCTAATAAACAGTTTTTTGCAACTTGTATTGGAAATTACCCCTTAGGTTCAGTGTGGGTGTTCAATGTAGGATACGAAGGTTTATTTGTTTGTTGTGATTGCAGGTATAACAATCGGACCTTCGGTTTGAAATCATTTAGAAAAAGAATAACAAGCCAGCAAACTGAAACAAATCCAAATACCACACTTAAGACCTCTGTGTCATGTAAGAAGTGAGGCTGATGGATGTAATGGTTCTTCCCAGCCTTAAAAATCCTCAGTCCTCCTGATGAAACCCATTAGCGATATCTAGTTACATCCAGCAGGCAAACTGCATGTGCTCTGCACACATGGGTCCTGCTGCCGTGCCCTGGGCCTTCTTATTCACCTTAACTTGTGGTGCTTTTTTACACTGTTGGAGTAGAACATTCTCCTTTTTCTTGATCACTTTATAACTTAAAATCCTGTCATGGCAACAGTAACTTTAATTCCTGTAGTGCTTTCATCTCAGCAGATTCCGAATCATTTGTTAAATAAAAAGATATATTCTGCAAACAACTCTATCATAGATTTCATTTAAAATAATAGTTTTTCTCACGGTGGATACTGGGCCACCTCTTTAGTACCCTTAAGTAAAATTGACTGTGCAGCTATCTTCAACAAACTACTTAAAAATAATAGGAAAATGTGGCTGCTTCAAATCCAAAACAAACATTTTACTGAGTGCTGTGGAACCTCAGATGTAGTAAAACAGATCTGGCCTTACTAATTTCTGAAATCATGAACCATATATTCAAAAGCAATAATGCTCGCTTCACCCTCTTCTCTCCTATGGAGAATAATACAGGAAGACACATCTTGTATGCTGTTATTTGTCTGCAGAGCATAAAGCATTTACAACAGGAGAACAGAAACCACTAGTCCCATTTTTGGAGTGTGAAAATTTATACTTGATTAAATAATTTGCTCAAGATCAGGTAGAACCATTTGTAAGTATGGAGCTCCCAACACAGTGCCCTCTCCCCTTAACCACCACCTCACGTTGGTTGCTTGCAGAGACCTACAGCAAATCCACCTCACAAATTACTCACTGCATTTAATAATAAAAAAGTAACTTAAAAGCTGCAGCAGTGAAGGGTTTTCAAAGCCTTGGGTCTGTCAGAGCTGCAAATGAGCTGGTAAGTGCAGGAGCAAGAAAAAGCATGGAGCTACACCTGTGGACTTACCTGTCTTGCCAACACTACTGCCACCCAGGACCACGAGCTTGATGATTTTGTTGGGCACGCAGTCTAATGCCGGATACTCTGGTATGGGGAGCAAGAGAAAGTTAGTAGAATACTGTGACATCGTATCCTGAGAGATGAGACGCATGCCAGAAATGAGAGCTGTTCAACTCCAGGAGGAGTTGGGGGAGAAAAGAAGGAAAACAGCTTCTCGGCGCCTGATCTTGGCTGTATATCCTTGGTTCAAGAAGCCTTCTCATCTCATTGAAGTAGCTTTCCTGAGGAATGTTAGGGCGACTGGCCTCCTCTTCCCGCTGCCTCTGCTCAGACAGCAACTTCGGAAAGCAAAAGGAAACTTTTTGATCAGCCCCCGTGAAAACTGACTCCTCCATTCCCCAGCCAATCACAAGTGAAACCAGGACATTCCTCACGCTGGGCACCAGCGTGTGCCTCCATCAGCCACGCTCCCTCGCTCGCTGCTTTATCTCTCCCTGCTGCCTGTTTTATGTGCTGTCCCTTGGCTCTTTGCTAAGACGAGATTCTTCTGTTTTATAGTCATCACGGTAGCGTCTGCTGCGAGATTCGGTCACCCCCATGCTCGGCTCTAATTCCACTTTGAATAATCCCGTTCTGCCTGTCTGGTTTCTTTGCATTTTCAATTGGCTCCAGCTCCAGCTCTGTTGTTCCCCCTGTCCTATTGTGTCCTGCAGTTGGGCCCCTTGAGTGCTGAAGCTGATGGGACGCTCGTCTTCACGAAAACAAACACATTTTTCCCCCCCCACAGCTTTCAGGCAGCTGTGGGTTATTCCAAAATACCAACTCACATATGTTTCCTCCAGGATACATTTGATCTGCTGGTTTATACATGTTGTTAGTCTTAATGGCCCTCTGGAATGTGGGTTAGCTTTGGGTTGGGACAGTGCAGTTTCTCCAAACATGGAAAAGCAAATTTAGGGCTGGCGACAGGCTTGGGAAAAGGACTCGGTATCCTTCAATGGGGCAAGCCAGACAGCGGGAATGAAGAAAGAATGAGTTCTACAGGAAAACCCAGCGTAGTTTTAAGACAGCTGGCAGCTGCAAGGTCTGTTGGGATGACAGCCTGTAACCGTACACTGGCTACAATCAGCTCTTGGTAATCAGGGATAATTGAGAGGGTAGAAAAAGGGAAGAGCACTGGGGAGGGAATGACCCAGATAGAGCAAAACTGCAAATAATATAAAACAGATGTAAATGAAGCTACAGAAAATATAGTTAGAGTGTTCATCTTTGAAAAACTTCTCAAAAGGAGTCTGCAAGGGGCAGGGGCAGCTTTAGGCAGCAGTGGGAAGAGGTGAGGCTGGTGCAGGCAGCGTATTTCTGGGCCGTGTATTCTGTCACGCTGCGTGGGAGATGTGCATGTTAACAGCAAGTGGCACCAGAAGCTAATCCACCCACAGGTCATGGAGACCTGCGGATACAGATTTTGCCTGTCTTCTCATGCTCCTAGCAGGCAGAAGGTAGGCATGGCTCATGGAGAGGCTGCAGCCACCAAAAAGACATTTTCTGCCCAACTGCTTTCAAGCCACTGCTTTTTTCCCCAGCAGGTTTTAGAGGCCAGGAGTTCAGTTGTTAACTAGCACAAGAGGATGGGAAATTGGGCCAGGACTCCAGATTACCACCCCTTCCCAAAGCACTGGGGGCCAGGTTGTCAAATGATCTCAGTTTCCACGCCAGCATCACAGAGGATGTGCTGAGCGTGAACTGGCTTTAGAAAAATCCAGCTTTGGTGCGCAGCAGCCCAGTGAAAGAAGCACAAGATCCAGAAGATTTATGGATTTGTCACTTTTCTAAGGCTCTGTTTCCCCTCTAAAAACTCCTTCTGAAGCAGGATTTGTGCAGAGTTGCTGTGTAAGCACCAAGTGTTATTACTTTGACCATCATGACAGTCAGATGATGAAGAGGTGGAACAAAATGTCTGGAGGGCTACCCAGCTCGTGGTACTGGGAAGGAGCTGCCAGATCATGTGTTTTTTGGGACATGGCTCCTAGGAGAATGGTTTTCAAATCTTCCAGTGTAAACTTGCTTCCAGATTTTTGCAAATGCCCAAACATTGAATGATCTTGTCCAGGAAATTTCATTACCAGAGTGCTTTAATCTCACACAAGTTTTGTAAAAACAGGGAAAATGAGAGAAGGAATAGGAAAATGCTCAAAATCTTGTGGTCAATTACCAGGGCACTCTGAAATGTGCTATTGAGCTGGACGCATTATAAATTTTGGGATTTGCTAGCAGCAGGATGTAACTGTCTGCCACTCCAAGTGTAGGATCTTGGAACCTTTGTTACCATTTGTTATTAAAAGCATATGCTAGTGAGTAATACAAAAGTATTCATTACAATAGTCCTATAAAAACAAACAGTAATATATCTATCAGCTTTTAGGTGGCCAGAAGCGTTTCAGCCCAGGAAAAAAAGCCAGAGAAGTTAAACAAGATCATGGAGAATATCCTATATGAGCAAAGACATTCCTAGAAGAATACGGATGTGCTGGTTTGCTCCAGAAGAGAAGCAACACAATTTTGGGTAACCAAATGTTGTGCCAGTGCTGAGGAACTCTAGGAGGATCTCACGAAAGCAAGTGAGTGCACATAAAGTCAACAGGTGAGCTTTAGTCTGGATAAATGTAAGGTAATGCATCTAGGGAAAAAGAATATCAACTATGCTTAAATGATGCTGAACTTGGACGTGGCACTCATAGATTAGGAAAGAGACCTTGGAGTCATCACTGGCAGGTCACACTCACCAGCTCAGTGTGCAACAGCAGCCAAAAAAGTCAACAAAATGTTGGCTGTTCTTGAGAGGGAAATGGAGAAGGAGATGTAGGGTGGCATTTTGCTGCTTACATCAATAAACCCTCAGAGCATCCCCATCACCTTGCAGTTCTCTGCACCTCAAATACACAGTGGGGTCTGAAAGGCACAAAGCTGGGCACCAAAACCGATCACGGGTGTGGAGCAGCTGCTGTAGGAGGAGAGATGGGAAAAGCTGTTTCCCATGTGCTTGTACGGACGCTGGTGCTGACACGAGGAGATGCGTGGGGGCAGGAATGAAAGCCCAGTGCTGGAGGAAATGTTGAACTGCTGCTTTTGGCAGCTGTGATGGCTTCTGGTTGCTTAAAACAAATGCAAAAGCAGTTTTAGACGGTGTCTTGGAAGCAGACAAATCGATTTCTAGTTCCTTTGCTGATATGGTTCAATGTAAATTTCTTATGCACTGAGTCCAGGCTTCTTGTGCTTCTCACCAGAGCTTGTTTCCACTCCGTGCAGAAATCCCTGTCCAGATAGAATGGGTTTTAGTAATAATAAGAAAGCAGCATATTCTTCAAAAGTGTTAAATCTATTCTCAAGCTCTCCCCCTGACTCCTGCCCCCAAATTGTAACTTTTCGGCTTTAATTCAGAAAGAATTCATGTAAGATATAGGATAAAAGCCAGAGGTTTTCATATCTGATCCTCATCTGCTTTTCTGGATTGTCAGAACAGGCTTTTCACTGAGTGAAGCCACGCAGAAGGATTCACACTCTAGGAGATTGTATAACCCTTGGCATGTGGCATAAGAATTGTTTTTAAAAGAGATTGTCATTGTTTGTGCACAATGGACTTATATTTAGCTAAGAAAACCATGTTTTAAATTCAAATTCTCTTGGAAAAACAATAGCTTAAATTAGAGGGAGAATGTTTGCAGAACTCAGAGCGACTCTGAAAACATTTGGATGCTTCTCCTTGGGTTGCTCCATGCAAAGATATGCGCCTTCGCATGCTGCACACAGATTAAGTTATTTCCACACCAAATTTCGCACAGATTTATTGATTGGTCTATGTTGCTTTTGGCTAGGGTTTTTAGAAGATTTTCCATGTTTATTGTTGTTGGCACTCCTACACATCTTCAGAGATGAAGCATTTTAAAAATAAAAATATTTGCCATTGCCATAGTGCTTTTCAGATAAAGATTTCAAATAATTTATAATTGCTCCTCAAACAACCACAGATCGATTTTTGCAGCTTTGTCTGTGGGAGGTGAGGAAGGAACAGGACTGAATGTGGTGTGCACGAAGAACCAGACTTTGTCTGCTTGGGATTTCACCTCATGTGGAGCCTGACCATGGGTAAAATCCGGTAAGAATTTGGCTGTGTGCTTCAGCAGCAGCCTCAGATGATGTTGTCTGGGGACAGGACTGCCGTTTTAGCACCATAATTGTACCCAGCACAAAGTTGTTCTGACCCTGAGGTCAAAGGGGAAGGAAGTGTCCTCAGATGCTATTGGGACAGCTGTGACAAATCATATTTAATTCTATTTTGGGATGTAAGGGAGGGAATCATTTAAATATAGAGTGAAATTGGTTAAACACTGTACACATTCCACTATTTCTGTATTTCCTGTTCCTAATTTTGTTGCATTGCCGTTCATGGAAACCCTGTAAGGAGCACGTGTCCTTTTTCACTTCTAGCATATTCTGTAAGCATTTCTTTTTTTAAGGTCACAGATTACTCTCCCTTGGGAACCTGTAGTAGATGACATGGAAAGTACAATGTGTATAACAGAACATCTCTGTGGGTGAGCAACTCAAATAGAATAGAAACATCTTGGCCTCATAAAAAAGGTTGTGCTTTGGAAAGTGAATTGTCCTCCTTTCCTTGCAGATATTCCCACAAGGTCAGGGCCAGAGTAAGGGGGGGCGTGTGGAAACAGCCCTGCCACTGCTGACGGTGTGCTTCACGCACGGCAGGGCTTCCAGCCACCTTCATCAGCACTTCTCAAGAGTGCTCCATTTATAATTAATATAATTAATACAAAACATGAGCCAGGCTCCTTCCAGGTTTGACACAACGCTGTAGATCTTGATCAGCCAGATGACAAAATTTCTACCCTGTCTGCATGAGCGATGTTTTCCTCTGATACGTATTTGGTTTTGATATGCTCTGCTTGAAGGTGATTCAGCAACGTTTTTCACTCCTTCTCCTCCTGTGTTTACATTATACACTGTTGTCATTAGCAGTGCTGTGCTTTCGAAGAGCCCTTACTGTGATTTTTGATGTGTAATGTAGCACGGCAAAGGATTACTGGGTGCAAACCCACTGCCCGGCTCTATCATCACACGAGGCATCGTCGTAAGACCCGTTTGTGGGCGCCGCTAACCACGGAGAAGAGCCTCGGAGACCCGCAGGGCTCGACTCTCCGGGGACGAGGAGGGAAGAGCAAGA